ACCCACACTCCTTTAAAGCTGTACATTTCCTCAGCATTGTTATGTATCTATTGTACACCACGCAGATACTTAACAGCTTTCCATTTTCCATTCCACACCAAACACAGATCTCAAATTGCTTTTGAGTATATAATCAGAAAAATAAGAGATGAGTAAAATAGTCTGTAAGACTTCACTGTTTCAAGTTAAGTATTTCTGCCTTTTATAATTTTTGTGCTTTTTATCTATAAACACAGCATGAAATAGAGTTATGGGTATTCACAGATGATTTAAGGAGAAAAAAACAATTAGACTTTAATTATCTAGATCAGAGAATATAGGAGAGAGAAATGTTAGCTTGAGTTGACTAAATATTGTTTCTTCCTTCACTCTGTTTTACTATTGTAGATTCAGAGTAAGCCAATTTAATTCTCAGCTTGCATTCTGACTTTGCTTCCTGGATCTTCTATTCTGTTGCACTGCTTTATGATCTCAGAGAGAGTTCATAACAACAAATTTTCTTATGCTATGAGCCATTTTAGAGTCTTTTATAATATTTATAATTCATAATGGGCTGTATTTTATTTGAACAATTTTAAATTTTGACCAATTTAATTTCCAAATAGTTATCAAACACTAACTCTTCATCAAGAAACTCCAGGTTTTGATAAGATGTTGTATTAATAAGTGCTTGGGCAAAATTTGATACCATTAGAACAAAATGCACACTGATTGGAAACAATGATTTTAAACTGTTATCTTTTTTTCTAATCTAGAGAAATGGCTATTATTATTTTATCTTAAGTCATATCATGAAATTACATACCATTTTTGAATCAATGACAGACAATACAAAACATTGATTTTGTTCATCCAGATTGCTTTTTGTTTGGACAATGTCATATTTTAATCTTTGGAATGTAGAATCAATATATAAATATTACACTTACTTTGACTCTGAAGAAAAAAAAATGACTACTCTTCAAGATTCTTATTGACTGAATAACTGAATAACTCATTCCTTTTCTTATTATACTATATGTTATTTCAGTATACATATTATATTATAATAATATATGTGATGTCTCTTTGTCTTTCATGTCAAATGCAATCTTAGATTCTCTCTCCTTGTCTTCGTATCATAAAAAATTTCCTTTACCATACAATTACGAAATTCAGAATTCAAATATATTTATTATTATAACAATGTCCCCTCTACAATTGAAAGCAAAACATTCCTCCATTCCTTATACTAAAAGACAACCAACTCATTGTCATAATTTAAACAGTAAGTAACTTATTATCCTCACCCACATATGACCAATCATTTGAGAAGCTATAAATTTTTGAGACTGCCAAGAAAATCATATGTCTATTATATGCTCACCTTTCTTAATAAGAGTGGTACAAAGTCAACTTTATGAGCAACTAAAACTCTTAGATTTAGAAATGCTTTAATCTATAAGCACTTATTTATGTTTTCTAGTTACTTATATTGAAACACTTATTCCTTTTCAACACCAACAAGCTCAAAATACCTATTCTTATTGACTAATCCCAAACTGACTTTTATTTCCCACTGGGAAATAAAATATGATCATAAATATTAAAATGGTGGAAGAATGACACTCAAGTAGAAAGGTTTGAGAATGCAGGATTATTTAATAATTCCACTTCCAGTTTTATTTTCCAGCTTCTGAACTGATCATGTTATATGTTGTTTTATGCCAATTAAATGTCTTCCATAATAGCATCAATTAACTATGCTTATAAGAGATGGTACATTTACAAAATATACTTCTTGGCACAATGCAGTAGGTACAAGCAGGTCATCTCCATGTGAGTGCTCATCAGGACTAAGATGAAAAACCCTTCATGACAGAAGACACATAGGTACAGGTATATTTTAACCAAAAGTTACAGCTGAGCTATTCACAAGCCAGATCTGATATATTCGGGTTGAACAACTAAATTTTTAAAAATTAAATAATTTTTAAAAATTAAGAAATTGAGTATTTTCTTGTTTCCCTGCAATCATCAGAAGACCTAGTAGCATGGGCTGTCTATAAGACAACATCAGCCAGAGGTAAGTGGTGGCTGCCACTTCAGAGAGTACATTCTCTGTTATTCTGCCATGGTTTCCATCACTTCGAATTAGCACATGTGAGTCAACTTCATTCATTATGGTTTCTGTCAGACTCTTTGAAGGAACTTACAGTTCCTGGGGCTTAAAAGTTTATTCAGTCAAATGTCCCACTTTTGTATCAGATCTTGTGATTTCTAACTACTTCTGTCAATTGAAGCAACTAACACCTCTAACTTTAACCATCTTTAAATTTTTAAGCACTTATTTCTTTGTTTTCCATTAGATTAAAGTAGTTATTTCTTACCAAGTTAGGAGGTTCAAAATAACTATTCTTATTCACTAGTCTCCAACTTGAATTTGATTTTTTTTAAATTATTTCTTTATGTTATGGTACTGCCATCTTCACCATCACCACTACAAAACAATTCCTTCTCCTTTCTCCACTACAGCTTATTCAATCAAGTTTAACTCACTCAGGAATTATCTACAGAGTATCTCTAGGGATGATTCTAGGCAATAAGAAAATAGCAAAGATTAAGGCAGTCTCTAAAAACAAACAAATAAATTAAAATTTTAAAATAACAGGTATTTCTAAGAGTTTATCATAATAGATGTTGTAATAGACAATTATTATGTGGCAATTTTAGATGGAGTTGGTCAGAGAAATTTATTGTGAGCAGGGATCATTTAAGTAGAAATCTATATAGAGATCTTCTGCTCATATAAAGTAAAATTGGAAGAACATTTCATCAAAAGAAACAGGGAACGCAAAGTCCCAAGTTCTAGAAGTTGAATGTGTTTAAGCAGCAAAAAATAAAAAAAGTCCAACATGAGTGGAATGCAATGGTAAGGGAGGAAATGGTCACAAACAAGGTTAATTGTGTTAGGGAAGAGCCAGGTCACATAAGGCTTTGTTAATCATGTTCAGAAATTTGAACTTTATTCCCAGAGCTGTGGGAATTCATTGGGTAGTCTTAAGCATGAAAGTAGCATCATCTTTTTTAGGTTTTGAAGGATCATCCTGACCACCCAGGAGGCCAGTCAGGTTTAGTGCAAATTATAGCAATAGTGATTAAGCGCTAGACTAACGCAAATTCAGGGAAGGGCTTCAAGGGTGTGGTTGAAGGGAGCCACTGGTAGAACTGAGGAGGAAAGGTGCAGTGCTTGGATTTTCATTTTCTGCCAATGACTGAGTAACAGTATACTTTACTAAGATAAAAAAAATAACTGGAGATGAGAAGCTTTGTTGTTTAGATCATATTAATTTTGAGAGGTTTACCTGAGACACACACCCAATAATATCAGTTGATGAGATAAAAATCCTAATGTGGAGTTCAGGGAGAACATTCAGGACTAGAAATAGAGATTTGAGAATAATCAGTATATAAGTAGAATTGAAAGTCATAAGACAGAGGACACTTGGGGTAAAATCTCCTAGGGATTGTGTGCTGGTAAAGAAGAGAAAAGACATACTTAGAGTTAAAAAAAAAAAAAAAAAGGCTATGAGGAGAGGTCAGCAAAAGAGCCTGGGGAAAGGCTTCAGGAAGCAGGAGAAAATCCAGAAGAGCAAATCTTACAGAAACCAATAGTTTTTAAGTGCTAAAAAAAGTTGTTTGAACAATGTGTTGAAGGCTACTACCCCAAATGTTAGATTATATTAGCAAACATTTATTAGATGTTATCACAAACATGATGCTACACAATATGGGGAACTGTAACAAGAGACACAATTAGGGGTCTAGGTAAAGCCTCAAGACGAAAGCTTATTTCAATATCTGTAAGAGCCTAACACAGTACCCATTTGCCACAGAAAATCCAATGTGTCTCTGTGTGTGTGTGTGTGTGTGTGTTTATAAACTCTACTAATAGGTACCAAAAATCTTAAGAAAATGTGATTTGGATTTTCAAGGAATCACTGAGTAAGAGCCTTGGTCAAGAAAGGAGGATGGCAGCATAAACTCTGTATTTGGAGAATTTACATGAGGTGGTATTGGGATGGGTGTCCTGACCCACCTGAAATTTGCTCTTGAGCTGGAACTGGGGTAGAAATGACTTTTCAGAGAACATGACACAAAACTCTAGTTTCTGGGACTTGACATGCAATTGCTTTGCACTGCATGAAAATCTATGTTCTATGAAGACAGGGTTCAGAATAAGTAATAGACATTTATTTATTTAATTATGGTCAATAATGTCTAAGCAAATAGGGTCACCAGTTGATTTTTAAAATATAAAACTTAAGTTGCAAGAGCAATCCTTATGTATACCTAGAGTTTTTATCATGGAAAAAACATTTAAACAGATTTTTTTTTTCTGAATGGTAAAGTCCTGAAAGATGTGTAGATAGCATAATAGTTTTGAGAGATAATTTACATTTCTTTGTATTTCTTTTTTTTTCTTCTCCCTGTTTCAAGCTGGGAGCCAGATGCTTGGCATTTCTTTGACTCAGAATTCTGTTTAGAAAAAAACACAAACTGAAAAAGTGCTTACAGATCCATTAGGATTACTACACTCGTGTGTGTGTGTGTGTGTGTGTGTGTGTAAGCCAGAAGTCACTAAAGGATTTAAAAAGTCAGCATAAAAGCAGCAGAGCCTCCAGATATCAGGGGAAAATATAGGCACTAATCAAGGGTACTACCTGGCATCAATGTAGCAGTGTAGCCTAATGGTATACCCCAAGGGTGTTCCCACAGTGCTTGGTTGAAATACCAGACTTTGGGACCTTAACAAACCTCAGGAGTTTAAAAAAAGCCCTAAAAGTCATTGAAATTGAATTATCCATTGGATTTCAATTAAGTTTAAATTAAATGTTATTTTTTTGTTTAGTAATTTTATGCACAATTTATTTAGTAGAAAGTATTAATATGTAGATATAAAGTATAACAGAAATCAACATATACATATGTTGAGATATATATATTAAGACAATACTTACGGCCAGACAGGGTTTGTGTGGAAATCCAGTTGGAAGCATTGCCATAGCCAGCATTGGTGCTAGCAGACACTTGGAATCTATACCATCTAAATTTCTTTAATCCATACACTGTCTCTTCAGTTAAGTCAGCTTCATAAAGGTACTGAACTTTTTGATACTCAACACATTCTTCAGATTGCCATTCTCTGCATTCTTGAGCACGGAGTTGAGTGGTTATCTTGTAATTTTGGAAGTAACCAAGGATAGAATCAGGTCTTATCCATGTCAGTGTTGCACTAGTTGACTGAACATCAGAAAAAGCAATGTTTGTGGGAGCACTGGGAACTAAAAATTAAAGGGAAAAAATAAAAACAATTTGGATTATCAAATATCTTATAATCAGAAGGAAGAAATAAAATTTGAAAATTTTCTATTATGATGCACCTAGTGGAGATCTATTAGATTATTACCACACTTAGATTAATATCCACATACTTAATGAGCAGAACCCTACAGAGGACAAAATTATTGTGATTTTTGAAAAATTCCTAATTTTGCTCCCAAATACACTCACATGTGGCTTATGTAAACATACTTTGGTTTCAGATATAAGAAAAAAAATTTTACTGCTACAAAAGAAAATTGCATGCTCATACCCTCTGAAGAATTTCCTTGGTATGATCTGAATTTTATTATTGTATTTTTTTCCCAAGAAAGGTATTTTCATAGTTAAATGTCTAAATACATATAAGCACATTTTACTGATAATGTGGATTATAAAATTATTTTAAGTAAACAGGATTACTGAATGAGTTAACTTATATAATTAGTTTAATTTTATTTTATCCCATGTTTACTCAGGATTGACAAAACTTTTTCTAGAACATCGTGTGACACATTGATATTAATAGGCAGATTAAAGTATCAGTATATAATCTATATCCACATGGTCCTACTTAAGAGTCATACCATCCTTGGTTTGCTAATTCAAACCATGTCAGATTCTGAGACTTGTGTTAGGGATTCAAGATACAAAAAAAAAAAAAAGCTCATGTCCTGTTTGTAAGACATGGTTTATTGGAATAGTAATATAAGCATATTATGGTTAGAAATACGAAGGATGAATGAACTAAGAGATAATAAAACTTTTCTCAGCCATGTTGCTCTTACACATGCATGTCTTTGCCAAAAACACTGAGATGAAGAAACATAATAATGACTTGCATGACTATTACATAATTCATGAGAACTATGATAACATTCACACTTTAAAAAGAAAATTAATAAAAATTTAGAAACTCCTTAATTCCTAAATATATCATAGTAGTTCAAACTACAATAAATGTCTAAAGAGCATCTAAGTAGTGCAAGCACTACTGTAGGTATAAAATATACAATGAATAAAATAGACAAAAATCCCTACTCTTGTGAAATTTACATTGGGGAGGCTAAATGTAATAAAAACCTATAATTAGGTATTATATATAGTACATTAGAAAGATGATCATTGATGTGGAAAAAAGTAAGTAAGGGAAGAAGGGTAGAAAGTTTCAGGGTTAATGACATTTTAATAGTGGTCAGAAAGGGCCTCATTAATTACAAGACATTAGGTTCCTAATGAAAGTGAGGGGTGCAGCTATGTGGAAATGTCAGGGAGGAAAATTCACAGCAGGGGAAACTATGACAAAAGGCTGTAAAGTGGAAGTGTGGCTGGTGTATTTGAAGAATAACAAGGAGTCCTGAATGACTAGCAGGAGCTGACATCTGAGAAGAGATACCGAAGGCCGCACCATGTACATTATAAGAGGACATTATTATGATTTTCATTTAAGCATAAGAGTGATAGGCTCCACCATGTTTCACAGAATTACTCGACCTATAGAATTGGGAATAGACTGAAAGGAGACAAGGTGGAACAAGGAGACTAGTTAATTGGTATTGCAACATGAATGCAAGAGATCATGGTGGCCAGGACTAAGATGGTGGCCGCAGAAATAAAAAATGCAGTTCCTGAATGTATCGAGAAGGAGAGCTGACAGGATTTACTGACATGTGACATGAGGTATAAGACAATGAGAGGAACAAAAGAAAGATTTATAGACTTTGCAGTGAGCAAATAGAAAGATGAAGTCACTAATAACCAACGGGGGATGACTGTAGAAGGGCTAAGCCCTGGGAGAAATAGATTAAGCATTTGAGTATGGTAACTTCAAAATGCCTCTCAGATAGCCAAAAGGAGCTGTTGAACAGAACATGGATACTGAGTCTGGAGTTCCATAGAGAGAAGTCTAGATGTCATTTAAAAGTTTGAACTTTCAGCAGGTCCCAGTGGCTCAGGAGGCTGAGGCAGGAGGATCGGGAGTTTAAAGCCAGCCTCAGCAATTTAGCAAGGTCCTAAGCAACTCAGTGAGACCCTATCTCTAAATAAAATACAAAATAGGGCTGGGGATGTGACTTCTTCTTGACAATAACTAGCTAAAAAGCTACACAACAGCTTGGGGACTCACTGTGTCAGAGGGGCTTATAGAGAGCTTATGAGGCAATGGAAAGTAATCAAAGATGTCAGAATGAAATGTTCAGAAATATATTTTATCAAGAATTGTACAATAGGAAAGTGAAAAATTCATATCTATATTGGTGGTTAACTCCATAAAGACAGACAAATGAGCAAATAACAGACTCTCGGCATTTGAAGGAAGCGTGAAGACCATCTAGGTAAAACTATTTTGGGAAATCTTCAGATGCCCAGCCACTGAACACAAAGTTTTTCTAGTTAGTTCTTCAACCAAACACTGGTCCAGGTACAGATAGGAAGGAATTTTGCTGTTGGAATTAAGAATCCAAATTCTTTATTAAAATAAAATATATCCAGTAGATCTGACCTTACAACATGACTCCTTTAAATCAGAGCATTTTCTTTGGCTGATTACAGAAAAGGGACAGATTTAAAACAAGAGATGAATTCAATGTTTGAAAACTTCTCCATTGCTGTCTTTGAAGGAGGAGGCTCATACTACATAATGCATGTCAAAGAGTTGACAGCAACCCTTGGCCAAGAGCCAGTCAAGAAATAGGTATCTCAGTCCTAGAGTAACAAGGAACTAAATTCTGTCATAACCCTATGATCTTGGAAGAAGATTCTGAATTCCATATAAAAATGTTGTTGACTTACAACTTAATTTCAGGTTGTGAGACAAAGAACCCAGGCACAGCATGTGTGTGCTTCTGATCCATAGCATTATGAGCTAAAGGGTGCTATTTTAAACCATCAAATTTGTCATAATTTATTACACAGCAACACAAACTCAATACAAACTGACCCCTTACTACTTATGTAGCTTCTGTGTAAGTATATAGAACAAAGTGAAATTCAAAATCTCAAGGAGCTTTTATTTTAAAATTTATTTTTAAATAACTCTATTAGTTTGTTTAGCCTACATTATTTTGAACTGATACCTACTTACCTATAAATCTTCATGCTGCACTGAAAACCCAACCTAAAGAGGTCTCATCTATATTTATCTCTCCACTTGAACATTCTGTATACAAGATCTAGAAACATTTTGCTTCTGAATCCATATCAATAAAAATATTGAATAATAACTGAAATATGTATACTTCTCATAAGTTACATGCACATAAAATGTCAATTTACAAATTGGATTGTGTCTCCCAGAATCTAGGCTAATGCTTGGAACAAAATAGTCATTTAATTTTTTTTTTTAATATGAGCAAGTGAATAGAGGTATAATGGGATTTAATTTAGATTGATGGCCAGGAAAGCTTGACTGATGAGGAGAAATTTAATAGGACACCTAAAAAATACAAAGTAGCTTCTCAAATGAAAAGTATCAGATGTGTTAAGACCCAGAGTAAGCCAGATGCAGTGGCACATGCCTGTAATCACAACTACACGGGACACTGAGGTATACCTGGGATTATCGGCATGTATGCAGGAGGCTGAGAAAGAAGAATCATAAGTTTGGGCAACTTAGAGAGACATGTCTCAAAATAAAAAATAAAAAGGTCCCAGGATGTAGGGGATGTAAAGCACTCTTGGGTTCCATCACCAACACCAAGCAGAGGGCCACCCAGAGGAAGACATGACAAGTTGAAAGCATTTAAAGAAGGCTCCTGGATCCATAAGGAGATAAATGGAAAGACAGAAAATGGGACATGGGACATATAGATAGGAATCAACATCATGTTAAGCCTACTGAATTTAAAAGTTTTGGATCTATCCTAAATGCTGCAAAAATACTTGGAAAGTTTTATACTGACTTTTTGTTTTCATTAAAATTTTCCCCATAGGGACCAGGGAATATGGTCTGGACACTCCCCTTTCTTTTGGGATCTACTGCTGATGACCCTTTCGTGTTTTGACTTCCCTTTCCTAGAGTTTGCTAAGCCACTGAAGTGGGAGGGAAGCAGTCTGATCTATTCAAGAGGGATCACTACATGTCCATAGCTCTCTGACCAACTTTTTTCCCTTCAGTTTTCATATATGAGAAAAGAAGACATTAATGAAAAATTTTGATGCAAAATAAAATTGTTGGCAAATGACTAGTGTTTCAGACTCTAGCAGTCTCCAAAACAAAAGTGTTTCAGAGAAGAAAAGATCTAAATACAAGAGTACTTTAACTTGGCAAATAAACAAGGTTCAGCCAAGTGTTATTTTTAACCTGGCTATGGGAAGCATGACAGCATTTCAGTTGCCTACTATGTCACAGGCACAGTGATGGGACATTGGAATTTACAGGCACTCAGTATGTGTTTATTGACTGCATGAATAAATTATGGTTCACTAAAACAATGCTTTGATTTTCATGTATGTTGTGGTTTGGATATAAGGTGTCCCTCAAAAGCTCCAGTGTTAATGCAGGGATGTTCAGAAGTGAAATGGTTACACGATGAGAGCTGTAACCTAATCAATGGATTAATTCATTGGCTGGATTAATAATTTGAATGGACTAACTGGGTGTAACTGTAGACAAATAAGGTGTGAATGGAGGAGGTGGGTCAATGAGGGATTGTGCTGCATCTTATTCTCTTAGTTCCTTCTTTCCTCTCTCTGCCTCCCTGCTGTTCTGGGCGGAGTAGCTTTCCTCCATTGGCCATTCAGCCATGATGAGGAGGCCACTCATGAATGGAACCTCTGGAACTGTGAGCCAAAACAAAAATTCCTTCTCTAAGTTGCTCTTGTCAGGTATTTTGATCACAGCTACAAAAAGCTAACACAATGTGGCACAAAATCCAAGTCCACATTTTTTATATCAAGTGTATTTAAAAATATGAGCCGGAATTAAATATAATATGAGGCCAAAGATATATTAAAACCCAAAGAT